TGGATTTGGGGGACAGAGTGGGGCATGTGGATTGCAGGGTCCAGTGGGGTGTTGGTAGTCAGACCTGCCTGTTGGTGTCTTACCTGCTGGCCTGCAGCTGGGGCTGCAATGGTTCAGCTTGAGTTTTCTGAACGCCTGCCTCTGAGCCTGTCCAGGGTGGGAGGTGACTGCAATGTGTGATCATATTTGACCTCCAGGAAAAGTTAAATTCTTCCCAAGGTTTCACTCAGTCAGCCACTTATTGTCTTATTTCCAAAAGAAAAAAAAATGACTTTGGGCTATTGTTGCAGTTAAAAAAAAAAACCCATGATTCTCTTGCTGTCTAATGGGAATTAATTAGGGTGCAAAGCTAGTCAATTATTATTGACTGCCCCTTAAGACCACCTTATGGATATGATAAGATAAAAAGGGAGATTATTGAGTCTACTTTTAAAAGGGGTTGGAGATTTAGCTCAGTGGTAGAGTGCTTGCCTACCAAGCACAAGGCCCTGGGTTCAGTCTTCAGCTCCAAAAAAAAAAAAAAAGAAAAAAAGAAAAAGAAAAATGAGACTATAGATATGAGGTAGATCATTGAATCTACTCTGAGAAAAAAGATAAAGAAATAATAAGATAAATGGGTAGATCACTGAATCTACTCTAAAAAGAAAAAGGGGAAGATATAAAAATGACAAAAGGTAGATTATTGAATCTATTATGAAAAGAAAAAAGAGAATATGGATATGATAAGATAAAAAGGGAGATTATTGAATCTACTTTTAAAAAGTAACTACTTGTTTTACATGAGATAAGTAATGAAAATTTTTTTGTCTGAGTTTATCAACTGTTATTGGATTGGACATTGTTAATATATATAATGGAGTTTTTTGTCTGAATCTGTCAAATGTTAATGGACTAGACATTTTTAGAAAAGAAACTTACTAAAGAGGTATTAAGTGTATAAATTTGAAAGACATAAGATAGTTCTGTTACTAATATAAGTTAGTATAGAAAGTGAATCAGGTACATCTTAGATTTACCAAAATAGGATAGATAATGGAATTATTTTCTCTGAGTTTGTCAAATACAAATGGACTAGACATTGTTTAAGTACTGATTGCTTGTATATATTGTATATAGTTATTGTACTTATTGGATATAGTTTTTCTTGTATTAGTTATAAGCTTTTTTAATTTTAGATAACAAAGGGAAAATGTGGTGATATTGTATTCCCCAAAATATTGTGCACCCTAATAAACTTATCTGGGGTCAGAGACAGAACAGCCACTAGATACAGTGGCCAGAAAATGGTGGCACTTACACCTTTAATCCTAGCATTCTGAAGGCAGAGATCCATCTGGATCTCTGTGAGTTTAAAGCCACACTGGAAACAGCCAGGCATGGTGACTCACACCTTTAATCCTAGGAAGTAAGCCTTTAATCCCAGGAAGTGATGTTAGAAAGCAGAAAGGCATATAAGGTGTGAGGACCAGGAACTAGAGCTGGTTAAGCTTTCAGGCTTTGGAGCAGCAGTTCAGCTGAGATTAATTTGGATGAGGACTCAGACGCTTCCAGTCTGAGGAAACAGGATCAGCTGAGGAATTGGTGAGGCGAGGAAGCTGTGGCTTGTTCTGCTTCTCTGATCTTCCAGCTTTAACCCAATACCTGGTTCCGGGTTTGATTTTATTAATAAGACCTTCTAACAATTCATGCTACACCACCTGGTGTGGTATCCAGGCTTATGGGGAACATGCCCTTAAGCTGTCAGGCTGTCTCTGTTCTTAAGGAGGGGCTGAGGTGCCCTCATGTGTCACCCTTGCCTAGCAGCATTGTTTAGCCTTTCAGCTATTGGTAATCAAAATGGTCATAGTTAAAGGTAAAGGGATATATCATGTTTTTATTTGTCAATTGTGACTTGAGAAAGCTGAGGGAAACCATTTCTCAACAGTTATATGCAAGTAGTGAATAAAAAACTAAAAGATGCTTGAAGAGGAAAGGCAACCAGAGGAAGAGTTCGAGAGGCGTGCTGTTCCCGACGGGAATTATTGACATGGAATCTGCTAAACCACTTTAGTCTGTGGGGATAATGCTGGTGTGATGCATCATAAAGAGACAGGTTAATTCACACACTGCATTTGCTAAAAGCGATCGACAGACTGGGAGCAACCTTGCACAACAAATATCTGCCATAAGCGTTGGTAACAACGTACAGATAGTGTTTGCACTACTGAGTGCTTCTGATCAGCTGGGGCCAGTAAGATGACCTCTCCCTTTTTAACACCCTGTTAATGATTTCTGTAAAGAAGCTGTCATCCCTTTTTTATGTTCTGCTTTCTTTGCTCTTCAATAAACACAAAGCAAATCCTGCTGTTAGGGGCAGAGGGACAAACAACAGTCACATAGATGAGACACACACAGCAGCCAGGCTGCAGACAGGCTAGCAGCCACAGACTGCACGTAGTTGGAAGACCCAAGGAGAGAAGTGGAGAATTCCAGTTAGGTTCAAGTTCACCCTAAAGCAAGTCTTTGTTTTTGTTCTCTAATGTGACACCAGCACATTTTTGTGCCTTTGAGTTTCTTTAACATGTTAAGGGATGCACTTACTTTGGAGTGCTAAATTCTAATCCTCAAGGTTATGGAACTGCATACATAGTGAGAGACAGCTAAAGGTGAGATGTAATTACCATCAATATTTTCAGGAAAGTGGGGCTTCCATATATATATATATATATATATATATATATATATATATATATAAAGAAAATGTATCTAATGAAAAAGCTATAAACATGTTGTCAAATGTGTAAAGTATTTGAGATTAGGGATACTTACAATCAGCTAACAAAACAAATATTAGAATAAAATGTATATGTAATGATATAAATCTTTATTTTATAAAATCATGCATTGTATGCCTACAAACTGCCAGATTATAGTACCAAGATATGAGAATGTAGATTGATAGATGATAGATGACAGATGATAGGTAGGTAAGTAGATAGATATTTGATAGATGACCAATAGATGACAGACAGATAGTTGATAGCTTATATATAGACAGATAATTGATAGATGATAGATACATAAGAGATAGATGTAGATAGATAGATAGATGGACAGAAAGATAGACAGACAGGAAGGAAAGGAAGAGAGAAAGACAAGAAAAGAAGGAAAGAATGAAATGTGATAGATAGAATTACTTGGCAGCTTGCAGGAAGGGAGCAGTATGATACAATAAAATATGAATAAAGCCCATTGTTGTAGAAGTAGATTTGTCAGCTTGGGAATAAGACCAGAATGATTTAAAGAATGAACTATTTAGCAAATGAGCATGCACTGAAAGAGTCCAGGCAAAATTAAGCCCACATGAAAATGTTCAGAAGAGTTAATGAAAATCTATTCAGTCCAGTTAATTCCCTGAAGACTGCCATTGTTTCTTTGCACACAAAGAATGAATGGATTTGGCGTGGGAGAGGAAGAGAACCAGAGGCCAAGTAGGAAGAACTTTGGCCTGAGCTGGGAAGTCAGAACTCCTATGGCTGAGACAGACTAAGATAAACGCATATGCTGCATATGGAAGACACACAAACCCCTCACCAACACTGGTGAAGGCAGACAACACTGCTAGCACAGTAGCCCCATCGAGATTCCTACTTGACTTCTCATGCTCCAGTCAGCCCTATCAAAAGCCCAGCTGCCTTCAAGACAAGGCCACCTAGTCTTACTTGCAGGTTATTGGCAACTTCCAGACGTGATTACACACACCAAGGCTATACATTTGATGTTATATAGATCTAGTTCTTTTTATTTATTTGATGGATTAAGTATACTTACGTCTGCAACCCAGGACTAGGTGTAAAAGACAGTAAGGAAGAGAGGAAGAGGAGGTAGTGGGAAAGGTAGAAGAAGAAGAGGATGTCAAAAAGCAGAGAGAAGAGGAGGAGGCAGAAGGGTAATAAATAAGCCGATAAGACTGCAGGCAGAGATTTTCTATCTAGCAGCCATTCTCAAATAAACACACTGAGGCTTATATTAATTACAAATGCCCAGCCAATAGCTCAGGCTTGTTACTAACTAGTTCTTACATTTTAAGTTAACCCATATTCCTTATTTACACTCTGTCACATGGCAGTAACTTTATTAGCATGGCACATTCCTCTCCTACTCCCTCTGCTTCTAGCTGGAGACTCTAGACTCTGCCCTTCTTCCTCCCAGTATTGTCTTAGTCTGTTTTTTCCACCTCACCTCCTCCTGACCAGCTATAGGCCAGTCAGCTCTTTATTAGCCAGTGAGAGTAATACATACTCATAGTGTACAAAAAGATTGTTCCACAGCATAAGGCTGAGACAGGAGAGAAAATTACCCACCCCAAGAATATACAATGCTATAAATATACCCCTAATCCATGTGGTTACTGATGACAGTGATGTGTCAATGTAGACTCATTGTTCTAATCAAGTGTGCTGCTATATGGAGTTCCCAACCATGGGGGAGGCTGGGCCCATGGGAAGGGGAATATACAGGAGATCTCTGTCCCTTCTCAGTTCTGTCCTGAGTTTAAAACTTCTCTACAAAATCAAGTCCATTTCAGAATGACTCCAGAGATGCTTGGGATAACGTTTAACATGGAAGCTATGAATGGGAAGAAAACCATGGAAAATGACTGGAAGAGCGAGGGCTTCTGAGAGAAGACATGGCATACATCACAACCTAACATGCTGCAGTTGCTAGAGGACATGGCCTATGAGGGCAACGTGTTGGAAAGGCTTTGCCACCACACTTGACAGACAGATGTGCTATACAGGGGAAGCCGTTCATTCCCCATGAACATGGAACAGAGTTGGCAAACTGAAGTAAAAATGACTGGCTCTGTTCTCTTGGAATTGTTGATTGTCCATTTAGATAGAATTTTCTAGAACTTGGTAATTCTGTCCTCCTCCAACTTAACAATTTGCATGTTCGAATTTTTCTTCATCTTATCTATACATGTAGTAGTCAGTGGAAAAACAAGGATTTGGGTCACGTTCATTCTTTTACTTATTATCAGTAGAAGACAGACTATGAGCAGATTATCAAGTCCCACCCTGAGGTACATATTATGTTGGATTCTGGACATAAAGCAGTCAATGACAGAAATCACACTGGTCCTCACTGCAAATAGGGCCAAATCTTCACTTACAAGCCCTGGACACCCAGCATCTCCATGTCAGTCTTTATGTGGATTTTGATGTGATATCTTTGGACCTCACTTTAAATGTGCTTCTTTACAGTATGCAACTCATAGAAGATTGAAGCAGCTCCTACATAAAGCAGAGAGAACCTGAAACAAAATAAGAAAATATTTATCAAAAATTGTTGTCACTGTTGTCACTGTGTTGAAGTACTTGACTAATGTGGTCTGGCAGGTTCACAGTCATAATACCACATGACTCCTATGCCTCTCTCTTCATAGCAATGATTGGAGGAGAAAGTGCTGGAGATGAAGACCATGCATTTAGCTGGTGTTACAAAAAGGGGAACATATACTCCCTCATCATGAGTCCCTATTTACAGATTTGCATGCAATGGATAAAGGCAAGCAAGGTCAGAACATCTGGGTTGAGTCTAAGTTTCTGCTTTCACTGCCAGCAAGTTTGTTCAAATCACTCAGCTTCGTTCTGTTTGAGGTTTATCAATCCTAGCAGGGGGATGGGAATCCAACAACATACTGTTATAAGAATTCCAGACCATAATACACCGGAAGTGTTTCGTTCACAGACTGACAGACCATAATTACTCAAACCTGCCACTGATTCCCATTCTTCTTCCAGGGTTATAATCCTTGTTTTCAGCAATTACTATCAAAAACTTGGAAAAATACAAGATGGGATGGGCTCTTGATATAGAATGTTAAGGAGGGGGCTGCCAAGAAAAGATATGTTGTTTTATTGCCATGGAGAAAGAAAACAGCTACAAGGACTGGGTTCCTACCTGTCTAATGAAGCCATGATTGTTCTATAGCCTCGGTAAGAAGCCAAGCTCAGAGCTGGATTTAAATCTAGTTGAGCAATGACAACTTGCCTCAGTGAACATGTCCCTGAAGGCTAATCAATTAGGAATAACCTCATACCTTGAAAGTCACCCAGCTGGCAGCCGACCAACGTCAGGGAGCATGCTTCTGCTGCTGCTGCTGCTGCTGATACTGAACTCTGCTATCTCTGTAAGTTATTAGCGATGCTTCTAAGATGACAGCAGTCTCGTCTTCGGCTGCAATGAACACAACGCTTCTGTAACCAACACAGAATGCGATCCCACAGCTGACGTCAGCCACTCTTGAAGTCACAGAAACACAACCTGAAGCAATCTCTTTCCCTAAGCAGAAAATTCAGTTTGCCATGCTGGGTGAGGCTACATCTGACCAATGCAGCTCTTTTCTTTTGCTTAAGCCCTCAATTGGTTCAGCTTCAACTTAGGATTCAAGCATAGGTTTCTTTTTTTTTTTTTCACAACTAACATAGTTTTGAAAGCTCTTACTTGGTAGGCTAAACTGTGATCTCCAGGCTACTCTCTACACCCAGCCTCTTGTCTGAGATTCCTGGACCTTCCCGATTTGCTTTACTGAGCTCTTGTTACATAATGTGTGTTATCTAGGATTTGTCTCTGTTTAGCGGTAGCGTGGGAGCTGCTTGGGTGCGTTGGCTTGATGCTGCAACTTTGACAACAGCTTCTGGTCATTAACATGCTTACCTCGGCCCCTTGTTCTTCTGCTCATGTCTCTCTTTGTGTAAGCATCTGTGTTGTGGATTTTGTGTATTGTGTTGTCTGTGCTGGTGAACTGAATCAGAGAGTGCTTGGCAGAGAATGGGTGGAGGGGCCTGGTAGACAGACCGACAATCACCTAAGTCACCTGGAAACTGTCAGGACTGGACATCCATCAGGCTGGAGGTGCACCCACCTAAGACAGTACGTCAAAGCATGCTTTATCTCTTCCTTGGGTTCATGACTGCATACATTATCTTGTCGGTTTGTGGAAAAGGTTACTACGCACACATGACATGCTGTGTAGGTAACTGTGGGTCAGCCTCTAGGTTCTTCCCCGCCTCTACCTGGTTGGTAAAAGGAAGCACATTCTACAAGAAAAGGCACTGAACCTCTTTCCTGCTTGTTATGGGCATGAGACCATCGAACAGAACATTTTCCTGGAAACACTCTTATAAATTCCTAATATTTTCTGCCACTGTGCTTTCCTGGATGAATGATCTAAAATTATAAAAATCATCATTTTTAGGCATCTTGATCAGTTAATACTTTTCTGAATGTGTGCATGTGTGTCTCTGTTCCTGTCTGTGAGAGC